AGAGGCTCCTACAGCGACTATGCTCTTCTCTACTGCTAGGAGGGCCTTCTCGAGGAGGTCAACGGTGAGAGTGGTGGGGCAAACAGAGAGGAAGTGGTCCCTGACTACGCGGAGGGAGTCAGGGAGCCGGGTGACTATGTAGTAGAGGGTGATGTACATGGGGGGGGGGGGTTCTTGGCGCAGAATTCAACAGGAAGCACAGCGCGGTAGCGAGTGTCACTAGTGCGGAGGTGCGTAATGAGGTCAGTGACTGTGGGAAAGGCAGCAAGGTCAGGGAAGAGGTACGGTAGCATGAGGCGGCTCAGTGCAGCAGTGGCAGGGGAGGAGTAGCTTGCAACTACAGCGTCGTACAAGGTCTGAGCACTCTTTTACTGGCTAAGTGCGCACGCTTAGAGGTAGACAGGTGGCGACGCACAGTAAGACGTGCAGCAGCATCGCGTGTGGCCCACTGTGAGCGAATACTGGCGACGGCATCAGCAGCAGGGGCAGGAGAGGCACCAGAGGTGAGGTCAAAGAGGGAGAGACCGTCTGCTCTATCGCACTGTAGGAAAAGCTGCAGGTCATCTACCCAGACGTCAAAGTCAATGGCCCGACCCTCAACGTCAAAAGCGAGAACACTAGGGGTAGCCATGACAGCAGTAGGCTAGCAGCGCTAACAGTGGGGTAAGGGCAGTGCAGTGACGGAGGCGCTGCTCTTACCGAACAGGGCGGCTCGGGCGGCTCGGCGGCTCGCCAACTTGGCGGCTCGGACGGCTCAGCGGTACAGTGGCTCGGCAGCAGCTGCGGCTCGGCGACTTGGCAGCTCGGGCGGCTCGGGCGGCTTGGCGGTACGGCGGCTCGGCAACCCGGCGGCTCGAGTGGCTCAGGTGGCGCGGCGGCTCGGGCGGCTCGGGTGGATCGGGCGGCTTGGCAGCAGCTCGGCGGCCCGGCGGCTCGGTGGAGCGGCGTCGGGGCCGGGTGGAGCGGGGTCGAGGCCAGCAGAGGCGGCGCCGGAGCCGCGTGGGGTCGGCGGCGGGGCCGGGTGGAGCGATGTCGGGGCCGGCAGAGGCGGTGCCGGGGCCGCAGGGGTAGGCGACGAGGCCAGGAGAGGCGGCGCCGAGGCCGGGAAGGGCGGCGCCGGGGCTGCAGGGGTAGGCGACGAGGCCAGGAGAGGCGGCGCAGAGGCTGGGACGGGCGGCGCCGGGGCCGCAGGGGTAGGCGACGGGGCCGCTAGGGCGGCTAGGAGGGGGGGTCGCTAGGGCGGCTTGAAGAGGCCGCGAGGGCGGCACGAAAGGGCCGCGAGGGCAGCTCGAAAGGGCCGCTAGGGTGGCGCGACGCGGCGGAGCCACGAGGGTGGCGGATCGGGGCCGCGAGGGCGGCGCGACATGACGGGGCTGCTAAGGCAGCCCGACAGGGTCGAGAGAGGGGAGCGCGACTCGGGCAGAGTGTGGGCGCGCTCCGAGCAAAAAAAAAAGGGTGGTGGGCCCTAGGAACAGTCCCCACAGGGGAACCTGCTTTGATACCATGTGAGAATGAACGAGAATGATTGAACTATGAAACAGTTGGGTACAAGTACTGACCCTAATTGGGTTGTACCCCTTATGGGCTACCCCACTACAGCCTACACAGAAGTATAAGCTATAATGTTCTGACACTTGGTGCAGCCCGCACCCAGGCAGAGGCATCTGAGGTCGGCCCAACCTTGCTGGAAAAAGTGATAGCAACTGCTGAGTGCACCTACAGTCAAGGGTGGGAGGGGCTGCTGATCAGAATTAACCAGGCTGTGCTGATGGAAAGAACAGGGGTGGCCAGTGGCTCCTACTGCAGTGCTGCAACCTAACTGGATGGACTGGGATGTTAGACCTGCCCGTCTCATAGCGCTCGCAAAATGGGGCATGCACCCGGGCAAGGCTCTGTTAAGTGCCAGCCATGGGTCCAGTGGCCGGCGCACTTCACCTTCTGGAGCATCAATCATCAATTGTGTGCTTGTACGCGTCATCACGGGCATGCTAGTGAGCAACGCCTGCACGACATGGTACATGGGGTGAGTCCAAGAAGAAGGCACATAAGGGCGTGCACCACTCAGATGCCATCAACAGGGGCATTCACACGTATGTTTAGCATTGTTATCATGGTCATAACCTTACCTGTACCATTGGACTTGTGTAGTTGCGGTTACACTGCATGAGTGTGGGAAGGGTTCGCATAGCCCGTCGGATATCATCGGCGGTTATGATTGCACGAGCAATCTGGCGTCTGTTTGAGGACCTATATGGACGCTTCACAAGTCCAACGTGGCTGTGCTCAAAGAGGTTGGTCGAGTACTCCTCGGGTACCCCGCGTGTTTCAATGGCATATGGCAGATGGGTCAGCGCATGAACCTTCACAAGCTTCCAGCTTGACGCTTGCATAGGGAATTCGCGTTTCAGAAGCGCCATCATACTGGAATATGCACACGCCATTAACACTAGTACCATAACACACACTTCGTGAGATTGGATGAAAAGGAATCATATACAGGTCAAAACAGTCACCACAGTAACAATGGCCCACTCACTTCTGTTGCTGCAGGACTACCGCGTTGATGGTGGCCTTGGTGTGCTTGGGCACCCGGAAGCAAGCAGAATACCACTTCAGGAAGCTCATGACCACTTCTAGCTGCGCCGATGTCAGTATACCCTCAAAAATAAAAACAGACACCTGCATCATTGCACGGTGCTCAGCAGCAGCGTAGTTGGCACCGCCCCGGAAGTACTTGCCAGGTTTAGGCAATTTGATGCCGGCTGCACGTGCCGATCGGTACAGTTGTTCATGTCGCCTGTCAAAACGCACGACATACACCAGTCAGATCGTACCCGAGGGGGAGACATACTGGCCTTATCAACTCGGAGATACCTACCAATCCATGACAGCCAGGACGCCGGGGGAATTGGTCTCACGTAAATGCTCTAGTATGTGTTTCCATAGCCCTATGTCTACCACATGTAACACATCTGGTAGGATACAACCATACGGGTTTCCCCAAGTGGTCCACGAGAAGTTCCACTTCCATAAAAAGCACTGATCATAGAAGGTACATGCGTCAGGGGCCAAACATACGCGTGGTTAGCTATCAACCCTGGTCAACAATAATTCATACGCACCTCCACCCTGTGTGTCCCCTCGGCCTTGCACTCCTTCTGGTCGGCCAACGACTGTCGCTGCCCTTCCGGGTTTCGCGTCTCAAACAAGCGATCCATGGCGTCTAAATACTCTTGCGGTACCTTGCACATTGAACACGGCTTGGCCGCCCGATGTTGCATGGTGGCAGTGACTTTACACCCCTCGGGGAAATCACATACATATGCATACAGAAGGGGGTACACAATTTGACTCACCCTGTGTGGATCATTCATAGGGGCTCCCTTGGATTGTAGCCACAACGTTAGATGGTATTGTGTTCAAATCAGTGCAGGAAGAACGCGTGACAATGTTAAACATGGTTCCATAGGAAGTGCAACACCAGATGCTTACGGGTAAGAGGCGTCGATCAAAGGTTCAAATACTATCTCAAGGCATTTGTTGAACAACCGTGTCTTGACCACGGGGAGGAGATCCACGTCACGCAGTGGTAACAAAGCTACCAGCTGCCGCGCATTTTCTTTCCAGCGCCGCTCACGTGGTATGTTGGCAACGGAGATCTGCAACGGCCATACTTTTTGCCGTCCGTTATGACTCAGGTGTGTAACATCGCTGCTGGCGATGAGGGCAGCGACAACACTCTCCTTGTTAGGCAGTTTTCTCTGTTAGCAGGGTGCATGAACGCAGTGAGCCACGGCATATCACACGACATGCAAGCAAGTACTGCCCATATCCCTACGATACCTGGCAGTTATGCGCACCTGTGCACGGGACCACCATCGTGCAGTTTCGGGTCGCGAGTAGATTCGCTTCTTAGCAGCATTCCATTGCGGGTTTGGTCGCAGCTGGAAGTTCGTGGCGTTCTTAGGGTCACCAAAAAATGTGCGTAGCGCCTGCGCATGTAATCAGGGTGAGAAGTAAGTTATACGCGAACGGGAACTTAAGCGATGAAGCATGGCCGTGCGATGGATTTGCACTGAAGGCACGTACCTCAAGCGTGTCGCAATACTCGAGTTCAACAGGCTCCGCTATGCTTTCGACCTGCACCATCGTTTTCTTCCAAGTCACGTGATGGCGGCCCAAGACTCTCTCCGCGAACTTATCGACATCCCCGGCGCCCTTCCAATCTGCGACCGCCGATGCCTTGAACTGCGGATGGTTTATGAGCCTGAAGAATGCTTTAGTTTCGTCGCGCGTCATCCCTGCACCGTTTCTTAAGGACTTGATAAACTGATACACCTCCCTGCAGGTGTCAAAATCATTAACAAGGTTATCTGCGATAGCAGCCGCTTTAGCAATGTTGATCGCATGGGTCGGGTGACTGTCATGGAGGGTTTGCCGCGGGCCATCATTCCCGAGCTCGACGATGGCCGCACGTCCCGCATGCGTGCTTTGCGATGGATTCTGTACCGGCGATCTCGGCGCACGCAGTGGCACCGCGTTTTTGCATTGAGCCTGCTGCCGCGTATGAAGACCAAAGGCTGTGCTGTTATCAAATGGGCGTTCGCAATTGCCGCAATACACCACGCCAGCGAGAAGCACAGGGGGGATAAGCGAGAATAACAACATGGCGACGTCAAAGCCTCCTTGCCTGTGTCGCGGCGAGTCATCCATGTGGCCTCGCCTTGCCTAAGTCGTCAAAGCACATAGCTAAATAGCACAGGGTGATGGCTAGTTCAGGCTACGAGGTTCGGATGAGCTTTCTAGGGTTGCCACATCTCGGTGTGACGAATAGGTTCCCAAGGCAGCCTCGTCTGTAAACTCGTTTGTGAGTATCATTCGATGTTTAAAAACATGCTGGACTTCCTGCCTGAACTTTTGATGAACTACCAAGGGGTTTGATTGGGGTGAGAAAATGGTTGTCACCCTGACAGTTGGAATTTGGGCCGTCGATTTCCGCTATGAGCTGTCGTCGGCCGTCGATAAGAAAGAAACCGTTGGATAAGAAAGAAACCGTTGCATGCAATGCATTCTGTGGAGTCTCTTACTCTGCAAAAGCCGCTGCTGCTCCATGTGGTGGTAGAGGGGTGTGCGTTCCAGGCGAGGTTACCCTGGCCCCAACCTGCCTGTGCAATGCGGGGTACATCCAATCTGGAAGTCTCAGCTGCGTGGCTGAAGGTAGGGAGCTCCCTGGGCGCGGCGCACACAGAAGTGGGGCAGATGCAGTAGGGGTGGAACATGGCATGGGCACTCTTTCTGCGAGGGATGTGAATGCATGCGCTCTGCTGTGTCACTGCATTGCACTCTTCGTCTGATTTCACTGCACTGGTATTGCTCTCAAGAGGCCTCACTTCATCATCATCTGCCATGATTGGGAATTTTCACATTTCATCTCACCTATAGTAAATTCTGCTTGTGTGCCTTGCATGTTTGCAGGCACTATCAACAGTACCTCAGGTTCTACCAACAGTACCTCAGGTTCTACCGACAGTACCTCAGGTTCTACCAACAGTACCTCAGGCTCCACCAACAGTACCTCAGACTCCACCAACAGTACCTCAGACGCAACCAACAGTACCTCAGGCTCAACCAACAGTACCTCAGGTTCTACCAACAGTACCTCACGCTCAACCAACAGTACCTCAGGTTCTACCGACAGTACCTCAGGTTCTACCAACAGTACCTCAGGCTCAACCAACAGTACCTCAGACTCCACCAACAGTACCTCAGGCGCAACCAACAGCACCTCAGGCTCCACCAACAGTACCTCAGGTTCAACCAACAGTACCTCAGGTTCTACCAACAGTACCTCAGGCTCAACCAACAGTACCTCAGGCGCAACCAACAGTACCTCAGGCTCCACCAACAGTACCTCAGGTTCAACCAACAGTACCTCAGGTTCTACCAACAGTACCTCAGGCTCTACCAACAGTACCTCAGGCTCCACCAACAGTACCTCAGGTTCTACCAACAGTACCTCAGGCGCAACCAACAGTACCTCAGGCTCTACCATCAGTACCTCAGTCAGCTTGTCTATTATCCCGCCAACAACTCTACTCACCAAGGGGACACAGAAGGAGACGGGGGGGAAGTTCACTGCGGCCCCCGTGCCTCTGTTTGTGTACGATGCAGGGCAGGCGGCGAGGTGTGGAGTGCAGCTCGCCTTCCGGGCCAACTTCACCTTCTCCCTATCCCCTCAATCCGGCCGTGTTGGTAACAACGGCTTCGCCTTCGTCGTCTCGGCAACGGACTGGGTGGGGAATGGATCTGGTGTCGGGTATGGTGGCATGGACAGCCGCAGCATGGCGGTTGAATTCGACACCACGGTGGACAAGCTGCATGGCGACATGAGCAGCCCGCACGTGGGGCTGAACATTCAAGGCCAGGACCAGTCAATAGCCGCTGTGAAGTCGCCGTTTCAGCTGACCAACAGAAAGGCATACACGGCGTGGGTGGACTATGAGCCTGGGGAGCCCGGCACCATCCAGGTGTTCCTGGCTGCCACGGAGGTGAAGCCAGCTCAGCCGCTGCTGGAGAGGAGGCTGGCGCTGTGTGAGGTGCTACAGGCTGGGGCAGAGCACCAGGCGTTCTACTTTGGCTTCGTGGCGTCCACCACTGTGAAGCCGTTCCAGATGCATCTCATTCTCAAGTCGGCAGTTCACAGTGGTAAGGGCAGCTCTAATGGTGATGGTGCGGAGGACTACTACAGGGATGATGAACCTTTCGAATGCTGATCAAGTGTTATGGATCGTGTTCTAACTATCTATGGCTGCCATTCCTGTATGTCCCTCGTGTTTTCCATTTTTGCAGGCCTTCCAGCTCCACGCAAGCCGGTAGACATCATTCCAGGTGAACAGTCCCTTTCCAGGAAAACATTTCTCCCTCTGCTTCAGCGATCTATGCCTGTATGCCCCTCTTTGCTGCCATTCAGTCTCTTTCTCCGTCACTCCCTGGTGACTGTAAACCAATATTCAAACAGAACAGCACATGCAAGCACCGACATCCTCCCCATCGCCTCTCCTTCCTCTTCTCAAACCCACGTTGCTTTGCCCTGCTCAGCCTTTGGTCTGACTCTCTCTGGGGCATCGTATGCGCCAGTGGGTGCCAGTCCCTTTATGCGCTACATGAGTGCGGACTATCTAGTGTTGGCCAACCAGCAGAGTGCATGGCAAGTCAGCGGCTCCCACTCCTGGGACTCCATGCCCTTCCTTGGCTGGCCGGTCAAGAACCAGAAGGACTGCAGTGAGTGGGAATGAGGAAGGTTTGTGGTATATGAACAGTTTTTTGGTGGTACTTTTTACCCCACTGGCACTTTCTCTGTACCGGTGATACTCCTTTTTATTCAATGAACTCCTGTGTTGCATCTCCCTTTCAGGTGCGAGTTGGGCGTATGCGGTGGTGGCGAGTGTGGAGGCAGCGTACGGCATTGCGCTGAACAGTGAGGCGCCACGGCTGTCAGTGGACTCACTCTTTGCAGCCATGGGGCTCACCTCCCTCACTGCCAAGTGCATGGCAGGCGGCTCTCCTGCCGCCGCCTTTGAAAGTCTTATCACTCTGCCCAGTGGTGGACTCACAACAGACAGCAAGCCGGTAGGAACGAGGCCAATGTAACCCAGCAAGCCTGTGCAGCTGTGCATCAAGCATAATCGAGCGACTGTACAGAGCAGTGAGCAGCTGCAGTAGATGCAAACAGACATGCTTACAGGGCCTCTGAGACTAGAAGTCATGCGGTACAACAGGTTATCCAAGGGACAAGATTCTAGGAATTCAATATTGGCCAATGAGATTGAAGTTGACCGTACCCTTTTTTCTTCATCTTCTCCTCCCCCAGCCCTCACCCATCTACGTGCTGTTTCGACCAGTTGTTGATTTATCTCCCATTCACTGGTGTGTGCTCTGATCCACAGATATCAAAGTACCCCATTCAGGGATTTGAGCGCACGCGGTTCAAGGGTTATGTGGGGCTCATGCTGGCAGTTCGGCGGCAGCCAGTGGTGGTTCACATCGAAGCCTCTGCAGCCACGTTTGTACAATATGACGGGGTGCGTACTGATCATCTCATCATGTGGCCGTGTTTTGCAATCATCCTTGTCAGCATAGAAGATGCCTTTGGCAATTCTCTCCGTGTCCACATAGAAGATGCCTTCAAATGCCACACTTCTACTCATTGCCAGCTATAACCGATATAGGAAACCGCATGTCTCATATGACCGCATCTGTGTCTACCTTCCCTGTGCTCACCATCTCCTTCTCTCCTCCAGACCTTCAAGTACCAGGATCCTGCCTGCTACACTGGCAACCTGGACCATGCTGTACTCGTTGTTGGGTACCTCCTTTTCACAAATAATGACCGCCAAAGCCAAATTGCTCCACCGTTCTGGATCATCCGCAACTCGTGGGGAGTGGAGTGGGGAGACAGAGGCCACATGCGCATGGACATTCAGGGAGGGGTTGGCGTGTGTGGCATCAACATGCTGCCTGGCATTTACCCCATTGTGAAGAGTGAGGAATCAACCCCATTGTCAGGAGTGAAGAATGCATCACATTGCCAATCGTTTCTGTTTGCAACATTATGTATACTGTCCGTGTTTCCTCAGCAGGCAGAGAAAGCTTCACAGTTATGGATTCAGCCCACTCACGTGTTCACACATGCCACCTCCTCTGTGCTTTCCACCACCCTTCCAGTTCCCAAGGATCCGTGCGGCCAGAAGAGCTACAAGGGCAATGGGGATCTGCAGCCCAGCATGAACCCATGCGGTCGCTTCACATGCCAGGCAAACACAAAGACCAACAGCAACACCTGCAACTGCACCATACCGAACGAGACCAAGCAGCCATTTGTTCAAGTGGAAAATGGGCTGGGATCCAAGACATGTGCATATGGTGAGTCGTGATTAAGCCCAAAAATGTTTCTCTGAACCACTGTGTACTGCTCTTCTCTTGCAGTACATATGGAGATTACATGGGCTGCAAGGGCATCCATGGCCTGACTGTAAACCTTTAACCTTTTACATCAGTGGTCAAGGATCGAGTTCACGTTTGATGGGTTGGTTCTGAACGCAGGTGCACTGACACTTGCTGCGAAGCTGAAATTATCCCCCCAGGCTCCCCTCACCCCCCCACCCCCCTCCCCCCCTCCTCCCTTCCCCAAACCCCTCTTTTTTTAAACTTAATAACCCATCTCCGCCCATACCCTCCCTGCTGCAAACCCAACAGTTGATGTGTGCGGTTCCTACTCTAGCAACCCCTGCGCTGTGGGGACATGCATCAATGATGGCAAGGGCGCCTACTCCTGCATCTGCCCTCCCAACTACGTTGGCAGCATAACCGTTGACAACCTCCCCACCTGCGACCCAGGTGCTGCTACATTAACCTCACTCACGCGTTTTGGTTATGAGGATGCGTTGGAATGCAGTTTCATGGGTTGTTTGTTGCCCGTCAAGCTCCACCGTCAGTACTTGATGCATGAACTTCTGCCATGGTAGCCTCGTCTGCATTCCCTCCACACCTGTCCTTCCCTGCCTGCCTCCTTCCTGATCATCTTGCTCCAGCCAATGTCACAGCCTCCATGTTGATAATCACTGGCGCTAACTGGTGGTGCTCCGATGTCTTCCCTGTAGCCGGCGTCTCCTTGGCTGGCTTCTCATCGCAGAACATGGTGAGAGGGCCAATGAGCAGGCCACGCTTGCATGGAAATGGCCTTAGTGAGTGGTGGCAGCAGGTACCAACGTACGCATAGGTTTGTTGACTGAACTTCAGAATTCATGAGACCTGTGTATCCACCACATGATTTCTCCGATCCATTATGCATGTGATTTTGATTGCAGGCCATTCCATGCAACCAGAGTTTGCCGCAGGGCAAGGTGATCAAGCTGGGAGGCACTCCCACCACCCCCTGCACTGCATTCTTCTATGCCCTCAAAGTGAGCCAGGCCAAGAAGATTAATTTCTTTTGGGGATCCTCCACCCCTCTCCCCTCATTGCCCTCGTCATCCCCCCTTCAACTCACTCACTCCCCCATTTCTCCCTCCTCCCCAAACTTTCCCCCATCTTTTGATATTGTATTCACCATCCGCAATGTATCTGGCCATTAAACAGCAGCACAATTTAAACATGTACCATCTGCAGCAAACCATCTCTTGTCTCCACTCGTCCCCACTTTATCCTCCAGGGCGACACCTGCTCCTCCATCGGCGTCCAGCTGGGACTCGCATCGACTTACCTTGCCTCTCTCAATCCCGGCCTGGACTGCTTTGAGCCCATCAAGGCGGGCCGCTCTCTTTGCATCGAGCGCAACAACACCTTCGCCTTCACCGTCCCTCGCTGCTTGCAGTACGGTATGCTTTCAGCTCAGGACACGTGCGAGAGCCTGCTGCAGCAGAGCATGAATTCAAGTGGGGAGGGGTCGACAGGGGCCGAAGTGGTGACTGCAACCAGCTGGACTGAGCTCTACCGCCCAAATCCCGGCATCATCTGTCCCCGCACTATCCCTGCCTCTAGTGCCACCATTGCCAGTGGGGCCAGCACAAAGGTGAGGGGCGGAGGATAACAAGTATATGGAAAGGAACATGGAGGGTTTTCTGCTGTGCACTATACCCTGGTCATGGGATCCTTGATTTTGATTGTTTCCTCGTTTGCCTCTGTTTGCACCTTCTATCCCAGGTTTGTCTCAAGGCAGACTACGAGTCCATCAATGCTTACACTTGCAAGATTGGCAGGCGTAAGGTGGTGTCTCCTTTGCTCACATGCCCGGGTGCTTTCAGCTTTTTCGGTGGAACCAAAACGGGACCAGCTGCAAGGTTCATTGAATACAACGGAAGGGCATGCTCAGACAATGTAGAGCTTAATTGGCTGTGTGTACCGTAGTGACTTTTTTTGGCGCTTGAAGGGAGTTTGAGCGTTTTCCATTCACATCTCTAGTGGTACTTTCACTGTAACATGCCTTTGCAGTGGAAATATCTGCTTGTATTTCAAAATTGCGGGCAAAGCTGCTGGTGGAAGTCAGAGAGAGAGTTGAAATCTCCCCTTCAGCAGCATTAAAGATTCTTGTTGAATGGAAAAACACATAAAACCCGCAGCCTGAATTACAAAAAAAGTTAGGTGTTAACACCTCCCCTCCCGAACCAGGGTGGTTACCAGGTCTCCACCTGCAAGACGGGAAGAAAGTGGCTGAGTGCTCGGTTCCTTGTCAACCACTCTGGGCCAGAGGTGTGCACACCAAACTAGAAACGTGTAATTCAGGTCGATAGAATCCGCCTAGTTCACCAAGCTAGTGTGACAGTCATAGCTTATTAGAATAGCTAGGCTCCAGCCCCATCCCAGCGCCTGTCACGACTTTCGGCCTTACGCTCTAGGACCATCACTCCATTACGGCCAATTCGTCGCCCACGGTTTTCCCGTAACTATGTCACGTTTCCAGGCAACGTAGCTACCCACACCCATATGCACATCGTCGCCATAGCTTCACTTCTGCTTCGCCCACCGCATCGATGTCGCCGAGGGACGCGTTCCTAAGGGGAGGGCCAATTACTTCGTCGCACCGCTTCTTCTGCCCGTTGTCCACGCTCGGTCCCCCCCGGTCCCACACACGCACTCCCTCGCCCACGCGAGCTCCCTTTACCGTCGCCTACGCTCAGTAATTTCCCTCGCCCTCGCTTACTCCCTTACCGTCGCCCACTCTCAATAGATTCCCTCGCCCACGCTTACCAGGGTTACCGACGCCCACGCTCACTCCCTCGCCCACGCCAACTCCCTCGCCCACGCTTACTCACCGTCGCCCACGCTAACTCCCTTGCCCACGCTTACACCCTTACGTCGCCCACGCTAACTCCCTTACCGTCGCCCACGCCCTCCCCTTTTCCATCGCCTTCGCGCAATCCGTCGAACACGCTCAATCACTTCCGTCGCCCGCGCTCAATCACTTCCGTCGCCCACGCTCAATCACTTCCGTCGCCCACGCTCAATCACTTCCGTCGCCCACGCTCAATCACTTCCGTCGCCCACGCTCAATCTCTTCCCTCCGCCCACGCGCACTCCCTTTCCGTCGCCATTGCGCAATCTTCCGTCGCACACGCTCAACCCCGCTCGCCGCACACGGCCGATTTCCCCCCGTTGCACACAGCCGCTTGCGCTCTCCCTTTTCATCGCCAACCCGTTCTCCCAAATCATGGCCGCACGTCCGCCCTATTCGTATCCTCACCCCATTCCCTCTCCTCCCCATCCAGCGCATGCAGCGTACGACAACGCAGAGGAGTATTTCAAATGTGCAGCGCCATCCCACACCTCCCCATCCCTCCCCTCCCCATCCCTCCCCTCCCCATCCCTCCCCTCCCCATCCCTCCCCTCCGCATCCCTCACCTCCCCATCCCTGCTGCTGTCTCTGTAAATGATGCGGAAACCCGCCCTCTGTCCCCCTCTCCGTCTCACCATCCCCGCCACTCCCCTGTCAACACCACCCCATCCCATGCCACCAGGGACGGGTCAGACGCGGGGCAGAAGAGTGTTCGCGTGCGACCCGCAACACCCATGTCACTGGCTTATCGTCAAGCTTAGTCGGGGGCGCCGCGACATCTTGAGAGCCACCATCTCTGCCTCACCCCATACCGCCTCATCCCCTTCCGCCTCATCCCATTCCGCCTCATCCCATACCGCCTCACCCGTTCCGCCGCACCCCATTCTACCTCACCCCATCCCCGCCTCCCCATCCCTCTTCTCCCCATCCCTCATCTCCCCATCCCTCATCCCCCCATCCCTCACCTCCCCATCCCTCACCTCCTCATCCCTTATCTCCCCGTCCCTCCACACCCCATCTCCTCCACACCCCATCTCCTCCTCACCCCATCTCTTCCACACCCCATCTCCTCCTCACCCCATCTCCTCCACACCCCATCTCCTCCTCACCCCATCTCCTCCTCACCGCATCTCCTCCTCACCCCATCTCCTCCACACCCCATCTCCTCCACACCCCATCTCCTCCACATCCCATCTCCTCCACACCCTATCTCCTCCTCACCCCATCTCCTCCTCACCCCATCTCCTCCTCACCCCATCTCATCCACACCCCATCTCCTCCTCACCCCTCCTCCTCCACACCCCATCTCCTCCACACCCCATCTCCTCCACACCCCATCTCCTCCTCACCCCATCTCCTCCTCACCCCATCTCCTCCTCACCCCATCTCCTCCTCACCCCATCTCCTCCTCACCCCATCTCCTCCTCGCCCCATCTCCTCCACACCGCATCTCCTCCACACCCCATCTCCTCCACACCCCATCTCCTCCACACCCCATCTCCTCCTCACCCCATCTCCTTCTCACCCCATCTCCTCCTCACCCCTCCTCCTCCACACCCCATCTCCTCCACACTCCATCTCCTCCTCACACCATCTCCTCCTCACACCATCTCCTCCACACCCCATCTCCTCCTCTCCCTGCCCCCTCTTCTTCCCATCCCCTCGTCTCCCTGTCCCCTCCTCTTCTTATCCCTTCCTTCCTCCATCCCGACGCCCCTTCCCTCCATGTCTCTTTCCTCTGTTCCTCCCATCCTCCTTCCTCATTCCTCCCTGCCACCCTTTCTCCTCCCCACCTTCCTCCCCAGCCTCTCTTCCTCCCCTCCCTTCTGCTTCTCTCCCCCATGTCCTCGCCACTCTCTTTTCCCCCCATCATCACTACCTCCCTCCCTTCATTGCATTCCTCGCTTCCATCCTTCCTCCGTTCCTCCCTTTCTCCATTTTCCCATTCCTCCCTTCATCATTTCTCAGTTGTCATTCTTTTGCATGCTTGCTTCCCTGCTACTTCAGCCACGTCACATCTGACTTCCCGGTTTGTGTTTGCGCAGGTCTTCTTTGCATCTGGTTGTGATGTGTTGGCTGTTTGATACTAAACGACGTATAGACATGCCATGTATTGGATAATTTTGTATGATACGACATTATGAGCTTCAGAGCAGCCATACACATGACTACTAACTAGGGGTCCAACAAATAATATACTAGTAGTATTTGTACGGTACAAGGGGAATCGCTCAAATTTATAGAAGAGTATATCTGGGGGGAATGTAATGTTGCTTCCTGGTTTTGTCTGCTACACTGCAATCAATAAACCAGGCCGTGGTAAAGCCACAACATCTGGTGCTGGGCACCTGTACCCTGCATTGGGGGATATGGGGGTGAGTGAAGGGGAAAAGACTGTAAAAAGGAGTGAGCAGAAGGGAAGAGAAGAAGCAGTGGGGGACAGAGTGAGAAGGGGAGAAGTGAGGAAGCAGTGGGAAACAGAGTGAGCAGAAGTGAAGAGAGTGAGCAAGGGGGAAGAGAGTGAGAAGAGAAGGGGGGTGGGGAGCAGTGGTGAAACAGAGTGAGCAACCCTAAACAAAGTGAGGAGGGGGGAAGAGAGTGAGCTGGTGGGAAGATAGTGAGCAGGGGGAAAGAGAGTGAGTAGTGGGGAATATAGTGAGCAAGGTGGAAAAAGAGGGGGAAGAGTGTGAGAAGGGCGAAAGAGAGTGAGCAAGGGGAAACAGATGGAGCAAGGGGAGGGGAAACGAGGGCGATGGACGGGGGAAAGTGAAGTCAACGGGAGTGGAAAAACGAGGTTGACGGGAGGGGGAAAGCGAGGTCGACAGCAGGGAAGGGGATGGGGGGAAGCAGGGAAGGGGATGGGGGGAAGCAGGGAAGGGGATGGGGGGAAGCAAGGAAGGGGATGGGGGGAAGCAGGGAAGGGGATGGGGGGAAACAGGGAAGGGGATGGGGGGAAACAGGGAAGGGGATGGGGGGAATCAGGGAAGGGGATGGGGGGAAGCAAAGAAGGGGATGGGGGGAAGCAGGGAAGAGGATGGGGGGAAACAGGGAAGGGGATGGGGGGAAGCAGGGAAGGGGATGGGGGAAAGCAGGGAAGGGGATGGGGGGAAGCAGGGAAGGGGATGGGGGGAAGCAGAGAAGGGGTTGGGGGAAGCAGGGTAGGGGATGGGGGGAGGCAGGGGAGGGGACAGGGGGAAGCAGGGAAGGGGATGGGGGGAAACAGTGAAGGGGATGGGGGGAAGCAGGGAAGGGGATGGGGGAAAGCAGGGAAGGGGATGGGGGGAAACAGGGAAGGGGATGGGGGGAAACAGGGAAGGGGATGGGGGGAATCAGGGAAGGGGATGGGGGGAAGCAGAGAAGGGGATGGGGGGAAGCAGGGAAGAGGATGGGGGGAAACAGGGAAGGGGATGGGGGGAAGCAGGGAAGGGGATGGGGGAAAGCAGGGAAGGGGATGGAGGGAAGCAGGGAAGGGGATGGGGGGAAGCAGAGAAGGGGTTGGGGGAAGCAGGGTAGGGGATGGGGGGAGGCAGGGGAGGGGACAGGGGGAAGCAGGGAAGGGGATGGGGGGAAACAGTGAAGGGGATGGGGGGAAGCAGGGAAGGGGATGGGGGGAAGCAGGGAAGGGGATGAGCGGAAGCAGGGAAGGGGATAGGGGGAAGCAGGGAAGGGGATGGGGGGAATCAGGGAAGGGGATGGGGGGAAGCAGGGAAGGGGATGGCGGGAAACAGGGAAGGGGATGGGGGGAAACAGGGAAGGGGATGGGGGGAAGCAGAGAAGGGGATGGGGGGAAGCAGGGAAGAGGATGGGGGGAAACAGGGAAGGGGATGGGGGGAAGCAGGGAAGGGGATGGGGGGAAGCAGGGAAGGGGATGGGGGGAAGCAGGGAAGGGGATGGGGGGAAGCAGAGAAGGGGTTGGGGGAAGCAGGGTAGGGAATGTGGGGAGGCAGGGGAGGGGACAGGGGGAAGCAGGGAAGGGGATGGGGGGAAGCAAGTCAGAGAATGGGGGGAAGCAGCGCAGGCGATACGGCGAAACAGGGAAGATGGGGGGAAGCATTGCAGGGGATAAGGGGAAACAGGGAAGAGGACGTGGGGAGCGGGAGAGATGCCGGGGAGAGAGCTGGGGGGAGGACGGTGGGGAGCAGGGCAATTGATGGGGGGAAGAGGGAGAGAGGTAAGCAGTGTGGGGGTGAAAGGCGATTATTGGGGAGAGAGAAGGGTGTATGCGCGGGTTGGAAAGGGGGCGTGACAAGTGTGCGAGATGAGAAGGGAGAAGGGAGGGATGGCGTGGGCAACGAGGAGTGGATGGGTTGCGGGGGGGAAACCGAGGGCGACGGGGGAGAGAGATAGACGGGGATTGCGAGGGGGCGAGCGGGAGGGAGGGCGACGAGCGGCAGGGAGGGCAACGAGACGAAGGGGGGCAACGCGCGGAATGGAGTGCGACGAGGGGAAGGAAGTGCGGAGGGCGGAAGGGAAGGCAACGGGAGGACGGGAGGGCGACGAGACGGGGCGACGGGCGGAAGGGAGCGCGACGAGGGGAAGGAAGGACGGCAGGCGGAAGGGCGGTTGACGGGCGGATGCGAGGGCGACGGGCGGAAGCGAGGCGGCGGGCGGGGAAGCGGCGAGGGGGGCGGGCGAGGCGAGGGTGGTAGGCGGGGAAAGCGAGAGCGATGGGCGAGGGAAGCGAGGTCGACGGTCGGCTAGGCGGCGAGGGCGACGGGCGGTGGGCGGGGAAAGCAAGGGCGATGGGCGAGGGTCGCGAGGTGGGCAAAGCGCTAATTTCTTATCTCCTCACGCCGCCTATTCTCCGTGCTTCGATTGCGTGGCCACGCTGCACCTAGGGATTCCGGTTGTCTGAAATGTGTCCGCTATAAAACCCTAATGTATGAATGTTCGCGCAATGTAGCTACTGAATTTGTGTGCTGCCGCTTGGAGGAAACTAAGATTAGATAATTTCGTGTCTAAGTTAGTAGCTAGTAATGGTGTGCTGGTTTTCTGCTGACGGAGGTTCTGTAGCTCACATCCCATCCCCATGGTGTTGGCTTCCGTCGCCCAGATTCAATGTTGCGACACTCGTGTTCTCGCAAATTGGTTTCGCCACCCGAAAGTGTCACCCACCCACCCGAACCTCTCCCCAACCTGTTCCCAAACCAAGCGTTGACTCGTTTTTGTAATTCAGGCTGCGGGTTATAACGATGCAATAGGACGCAAATATTCCGTGGACATCTGATTGTGTTTGAGAAGATCTTGACCCGTCAACAGCGGGTGAATACCCTTGAAATATGAATATTTATTACCCTTGAAATATGAATATTTTTAATAGCTGATTTTGAAAGCGAAGCGGCTTGTAATGTAGCAATGATGATCGGCGAACCGCGCTAAACACCCATTTTGGAGGGCTGGAGGTCATTTCCCTCCACCCACGTCTTTCATTTTTAAACGGCGTAGCCTAGTTTTCGAGTTCCCAACTCCAAGCTGGCGAAACTGAAATCACTACCTCGTTTCCGATCCCCATCCACTCCTTTCAGACATTTTCGCTCACAACGCGGCTACTATGGCACTTAAAGGCGAGAACGGTGACAACGCCAACGCTTCAATTCGTCCCGACAACGAAAGTATTACCCGTGAACCCGCGGGCGAACGCCGGAACAAGCGTCAGGCGGACGACGAGGAGTCGACACCGACCACCATCGACATTCTGCTGTCCAACGTCGCCGGGGCACGCACCCCCGGGGTGCCTCGAGCGTAAATGGCCCCTGAGGGGTCTGAGGTGCCAGCCGTCAACGAGGGCGCCAAGTCAACGCCGGCCAGCGCGACCGGCACCCCCCGTCAGCGTCACCGCCGCAGGCAGGCACACGCGCCTAACACGAGGCCTTAGGCGCACGCAGGCCCTGACGCGCCTTAGGGCGCTGACGCGCCTCAGGCCCCTGATGCGCCTGTGGCCTTGCCTGTCTTCACATCGGCCCAACTGCAGCAGCTGTTGTCCCTGTTACAGCAGCAAGCCCCCACTGTTACGGAAACCACCGCTAAACCAAACGCAACTTCAATGTCTGCTAAAAGCAAAAGGGAAAAAGGGAGACGGTGAAACGTGCTCGCATGGCAAAAATCGCACGCGCCGAGGGCACCACTGCCAAAGCTACCCCGGGCCCCAGAAATTCCTGCCGACATCGACACTTCCGACGACGAATCTAGTGAGGCACCTGCCGATAATGCAGTTTTTTCAACCACCGAGCACCTCCCCCCCCCTCTCTACCTCCAACCCTAACCTCACCGCATCTTCCTTCAAGAACGCGGCTGTTCGTGAACAAGCCGAGCTCCTTGAGGACCTGCGCGCCTACCTGATGCATGCGGAGCAGAAAGTGCGGCTCAACGAACCGGCAAGCGCCATCGAACTCCTCGAGGAGGCGCTCTCGCTCGTCAACAATCGTTTCAAGCTTCTCCACGTCGCCGATTACACGAATTTCCGCGTCGCTAACCGGTTCAGGATGTATGAAGAGAAGAGCTTATTCCACTTGCGCCCATTCAAGCAAGCCATGGCAGACGTTGCGGCCATGGAACGCGCCCAAGGCAACCTCGGCCGTGCCGCACGAGGCGGAGGGCGAGGAACCGGTGCATTTGGCAACAAATGCAGGCCACCAATGGACAAAAACACTAGGAGCTTTCGTGGAACCTGCTTCAAGTGCGGAAAGCCCAGCAACATGGCCAATGTGTGCCCCGATAATGGGTGAGGAGCCCAAGGACCCGCGCCGGTGGTGTGACCCTATGAGAGGGAAACCACTTGGGGCGCCAAGAGCACGTTGCATGGGCAACATGGTGTGCTTAGGCCGCTGGCCAGACCCTGCAGGGTGAGTAGAACGGCCACCGGCCGACCCCTAGGGAAGGGGGTAGGACTAGGAGTCCTAGGACTTAGCCATGGATGGCAATCAATGAGTTGTATGTGCGTTAAAGCATGAAATATGGGCCGGAAGGGCATGTAATGTGGATTATTGTTTATGTGTGGCTTAATGAAGGAGATTTGACTTATTGGAACCTGAATTATTGAAGCAAGCAGCCCTCGGAAGTTGAGGCCTAAGCGGTTGATGTACCAAAAAAAAAAAAAAAAAAAAGAGGAGAGAAGAAGAGAAGAAAGAAAGAGAGTGAGGGAGAAGTGATGAAGATTTTGACTCTTAAGGAGGCCACACTACTTGGCCAGCACCAGCCCAATTTAACGGGACACGAGAGGGCCACTAGCGCGACAAGCGCACAAGGAGGGCATACGAAAAAAAAAAAGAAAAAAAAGGTGGGGGAAGCATATTATTACGCGCAATTGTCATGATGGGCAAAGAGCCTACGATACAAGACATGCTATTATAGAAAGTGAGTGTAGCACAATCCTGTAGCCCACCCCGAGCTCGTCGAACATCAAGAGCCCTCGGGTGCACATACGGCAAGCCTAAGGTCCTGTATAATAGGCATTGAAAGGCAAAAAAAAAGGGGGGGGGGAGGGGGGGGGGGAGGGGGGGAGAGAGAGGCGAATGAATCAATACGAAAGAGATGGGGAAGGTTGTGTAAATGGCCTACCTTGTGAGGGTTCGGCCATACACTGCTCCGTTGTTTACTAGTACATGCACTCGTATTAATAATAATTAGCGCTCATACATTAAAAAAAAAAAATCGTACTCACAGTTTGTGCCGTTTTTGCGACCCGTAGCACGAATCCACCGAATGGCGGGATGGGCGAGCGAGACATCCCCTACGAAGACGCAATCACAGATAAGCTCGTCACAAGGATGTGCGATCGGCTACGCTTGGCATTCCCATGGTGGAGCTCATGGTGCGAAAGCAGCTTCATACTCTCAGTGATACTTCACGTCTACTGGATGCCGTGGGAACTCGTCCCCCCGGCGCTGTTCCAGCGCGAAAATCACGCGGGCGCACAAATCCACGCCAAGTTCACCAAAAAGGCCATTAGCAAGCTCCTAGAAATCGGCGCAGCTGCTCTTGCCCCTGCGGCTCAGCCCGTATATATTAGCCCACTCAATGTGGTGGTCCAAAGAGAAAAATGCCGACGGATCCTCGACCTCCGCTAAGTGAACCTGCACCTGCGCATTCCAAAATTCAAGTACGAGGGGCTCAATTGGGTTGCGAAGACCGCTCGCCTGGGCGATTGGATGTTCTCTATCGACCTAAAGGCTGGGTATCACCACGTTGATATTCACCCATCGTGCTGGAAGTACCTGGGATTCCGATTCGACGAAAAGACATACATATTCCCCTTGCTCACGTTCGGCCTCGCGACGGCCCCATTCGTTTTTACACAACTGATCAAACAACTCGCTCGGCGCTCGTGAGCCATGGGCATACGGGTCATTCCTTATGTCAACGACATCCTTTTCCTTTGTGACACGGAAACGGAAGCACGAGCCACATGCCAATCAATCATACATGACCTCAACAATGTAGGGCTTGTGATCAACTCGAAAAAGTCGCATCTGCAACCGACCCAGCAGTTGCGTTTCCTGGGCGTCAAGTTAGACACTAACCGTGGCCAGTTTGCTTTCGGTGCTGAACGTCGAGCCTCACTACTCTCCATCCTCCTAAGTTCTTCGAAGGGAAGGAAAGGCAGAATGCAAGGTCCCAGTCCGTCACATTGCCAGAGTCACCGACATGCTAGCACCATGTCACTGGCCCTTGGGGCGACGACACGAGCATTCAGTCAAGGCCTACTGCAGGCAATCCAGCAGGCACCATCATGGAATAGTAAAGTGCTGCTGGGCCCTATGTCCATTGAAGAACTGGATTTTTGGCGCCACGAGTTTGACAAATTCAACGGCGCCCCATTCCACATCCCTAACAACTACGATGTCGTGATCCATGTGGATGCCAGCGCACACAGTTGGGGAGCAACGTTGGACAAGTTCACTGGGCGGCATATCGAGGTAAGTGCGGCAATGCCGAAGAACCTGCTAAAGGCATCCAGACGCAACGAGAGATAGATGGCGTTCTATGGGCACTCCAAACGTTTTCAGAAAGAATCCGCGACCGACACGTCCTCGCAAGGACCGATAACTAAAGCGTTTTCTTCATCCTCCAAAAAGTTGGCTCAAGGCACACCAACCTTACAGCGACATGCAAGTCGATCATCCAAACATGCATGACCTTTTGGATTCAGCTC